TCGTAGCTACGTCACCGGCATGCCAGAGTAACTGAAATGTCATTTTCTGCAGCAGGTCACACTGAAAAATCAGGATTTCTCATGCCAGCCTGGATGAGGTTAGGTGCTGCAGGCATTTCCAGCGTCCCTTTGGAAGGGATAATTCAGTTCTCCATCACCCACAGACTGGCACCGCCCCGGCCACGTACGAGCAGGGTGCGTTAATCCCACCACCACTCGGGGTCAGCGACAGTGGCGGGGGGCCGGCGACAGTGGCGGGGCGGGCGGCCGGGGGGCTGCCGGTGCTTTGCAGCAAGTTTGTTCCTGAGGAAAAAAAGGGAGCAAAGCACACGCATTGGTTCCTCTACGAGAACCCCGAGCCCTCTGCCCTTAACCACAGCTAGAGCAAATCAGCTCTCCCTGGGCACGGGTACAGCAGCAGGCATCCCAAAATCCTTCCTTTCAGCACCGCATCCTGCACAGACATCAAGGGAAAGGGGTGAACCAGGACTCAACCAGCACAGCACCAATGTGTACGAGATATATAATGCGCAGGAACGGGATATACAATGCGCAGGAACGAGACCTTACGTGGACTGCCACGGGGCACGTCTGTAACTCCCTTTGCCTTACAAGCAAATGGGGGAAAAAAGCAGAGGAGCGACTGACGAAGCAGCTGGAGCACAGCGGGCACATCGCTGCGGCATCGAACGGATGAGGTTTCTGTTCCTGATAAGCTATGGGCTTTCTCTGTCAGGAGAGATCATATCCACCCAGATGAATATAGATAACTGGCCTCTAAACTGCCATAGAAATATAAAGCATTTATCCAGTTTCTTTATACTCTGCAGTGATAATTGTTATATAAATCCCAAAAATGTTCCTGAGCATTCTCAGAATGTAAAGTTCCAAAGTTTTTTTGCTGATGATAACCAGCTTTATCTCAAGATTTAAAAAAGAGAAAGCAAGAGAGAGACCGTTTTAATTAGTAAGTTGAAGAGTTGAGTTTAAGTGACCAACAGAGCGCGTCTCATCACTCTGGGATAAGATACCCTGAGCACTATGTTCAAACATTGCTCTGGGCAAAGGTTTTTAGACTTCAGCTCCTTTGGAAATGGTAGAGCGAGCTACAGAAACCATGGCTTTGCAAAAGCCACTGGTATGGCTTCAGAGTGCTTGTCATTGGTTCAGGAAGACGGCACGCAGCAACCTCAACAGCGCCCAACGCAGCATCACGGCAGCTAAGCCAAGCAATGGCTTTGGAAAGGAAGCAGGTGTGTGTACAAGCTGCTCTCCTCCAGGAAATACGGACAGAAAATGGACAGAGAGAGATCGAGTAACTCCTGTCCCTTCTCTCTCCGCGCCAGGCTGGGGAGAATGACCAGTCCCTGTTTTTCGCCATGTCTGTTCTAATTTTGGGAAGGAGTTTCAGGCAGGGAATCCCAGCCAGAAGCATCCCCCCGGCTTCTCGCGTCCTGCATCTTCTGCACAGCACGTGGCACCTCAGCATCCTTCCCCACCTCTCCTCTCCAGGGCCCACCTTCTCGAGACAGTCTTCCTAAACTTCGCGCCGAGCTCGATGGAGCTCGCACGCATCCTAAGGCGCGTTCCTGGGACGCAGGCACGCGGCTCACCGAGCAGCACCGTCCGTCTGCTGCCCGTGCCGAGCAGGCAGGCAGCAGGCAGGCTGCGCTGCTGACAGCTCTCCTTCGCACCACGGTACGCCTGTGCAACAACCCAGTGACTTCTAGACTTCCAACCGCTGAAAGAGGAAGACTCTGTATTAAAGGCAGTGTATTAAAAAGGGAAGAATACTTTCCAATGAAAAATCAGCATCCTCACAAAACAAAGTCCTAAAGGCACAAACCGGTGAACTAATCAGAGCAGGTTACAAGAGTAATCAGAAAGATTCCTGCGAGATTAAAATGAAGGGTGTCACTAGCAACCTAAGTTTCTGAGACAGCATTTAGAAAGCCTCAACCTGTACACTGAGAGCAAGAGAGGCGGCTCGAATGGTCCGTGATACACCACGGTCCCTCAGATCAGACAGCACATGCCATATTTGCCTTATGTCTTTTTCCTGCGAGCCTATCTGCTAGCTTCCTAAGTAACACTGTTCACATAGATACAGATCGATAAAGGGTTATAAATACATGTATTTATATATATTCACACATTTTAGTCCCTGTAATAAAGGTCTACGCCTTGCTCTTCTGTGCTGCTGGAGCAGCTGCCAACACTGATGGCACTGGTGGCTGTTCTCGGAAGCAATTGTGTCCACACCAATCCTCCGGAGAAAACAACAGAAAGCAGATTACTACCAAAAGGAAAAGCGGTTGGCTCAGCTCAGTCCCATAATTACTATATACAGAAAAGAAACCCCGTAGACCCAAAGTCCCATCTTCCCTCCAGCTCACAAACCAGTTCTGCTCAGCTCAGCTGGGCGACTCATCTTGGAGCCTGCACAGCTCAACCAGGGTAACTCGGATAAACGTGAGCATCACCCAGACAGTTACATTTGTAGGCAATAAACAACACGCGGCATGCAACGGTTTTGTTAGAGAAGTCAAAACAATCGATGGCTTTAACATTAGAAGTGTGTCCTGATGTGGTAGAGTCAACATGCTAACATAGGAGATGTACCTAACAGCAGTGTACTCCATTCCTGTGACCTAAGCAAACATGCGTCAGTTAGTTCAACACAAATTACAAAAACCCACATCCGAAGTGCACCAAGACCACCAGATTCAGAAAAATTATTAATCTATGTTTACAATAAATATTTCCTTGCGATGAGTTTTCTCCTATAACACGATGTATTTTCTTGGAAATGAGAATAGAGCTGCGAGAGGGAAGCTGTGATGCTTTGCAAAAGGCTTCCCCCACTGGGAAAATTGAAGTTGCCCGTCCCTGCCTCTAAGTTAATACTAACAGCAGCGCTAATCAACACTTTTTATTTAAATGCCAATCTTAGTTTCCTAGAAAAGGAGTGGTTATGGATCAGATTCAGCAGATTGCTGTAAAGCCTCTGTTGGATCAGCATCAAATGTTCTTCAGCTTGTGAACATCTTACATTTAAAACAACAAGCTTAAAAGCAAGTCTTCGGCAATTCCTATGTGAAGCCTACAGGGGCTGAAGAAGCAAACGTCTCCTCCCACTTATTTACACTCCCCGTCTGCCCTCTTACAGCAATCAGGAGCACGGTTCAGAGGATTTGCTTTTGCACACCAGGGAACTTCAGAATGGACCTGGCAATCCATGACCACTCCTGCCAGGTCCCGGATCACAGCTACACAACAACACACAGCGGGATTAACACGACGGTCGCAGGGTGTCCCCTCCCTGGGACAGCGAACTACGGAGACAGGGAAGACCAGGACAAGGAAGATGCAGCAGAGGCTACGGCCAAGAAATTCAGGAGCTTTGGTCTTGAGGTTTCAACATGACCCTGTTGCCACTCAGAGAAAGAGCAGCCACCAAACAGTCAGTGCTATGACCAGGAGAAAGGACATCATAAAGGGAATACGTGGAGAAGGAAAAATGCTAGAGTACAGCCGACACTTTTTGAGTGATTTCTGCTCTTCAGGAATTGGAATAGAAACCTTTGGAAGAGTTTCTTCACTTGCTTGCTGGGGAAAGGCTGTCTCAGTAGGTACCTCCTGCTTTTTTAGTTTGTCTTCATCCTGTACTAACAGAGGACGTTCCTGTGTCTGCTTTCGTGGTAGAAGATCAAGAAAGACAGAGAGAGATGAACAAAAATGACAGATGGAAAATGCCCAAAATGATAACTTGGAGGTGTGCAAAGCATTAGGACAGCCTTCCTCTCAATGTAAAAATAAACTGCCCTGGAGAGCAGAGCCACTGGTGGCTTGGGTCACACCAGCCCTCGAGCTACAAAATCCAGTCCTCTCTGCAGAGCTCATGAACATCTGGATCAGGATCATGCACGTTTTGTCACAAACCTCTGGATCATGACCACGCGTGTTTTGCGCGCCTGCCCTCCCAGAAAAGCGTATGCTCAAAACCTACTGAAGTGTTTTGCAATTGGAATGGTTGAGAAAAAACGTTTGAGGCATTAGGAATAGAAATGGCGTAGTACAAAATGTGGCCTCTGACAGTTTCCTATTCTACAGTGCTCTTAAAAAATAGCATTTGTTAAATATTGTTGAACATCCAACTGCAGTGCAGATAAAAAATGCTTTTTCAAAGTTCTCACAACAGTATCAAAATTTCAATTGTTTTGAAAATTCTACTGGAACAAGTGAAAAATTGTTACATCTTAGAAATCCCTAGCATGGAACAGGCAGGATGGCAGTAGGAGTGTTGCAAACTCCTTAAACTTCGCTCCGCATTTTAGCACTTTTGTTTCTGGAGTCTAAAGAATGTAAAAAACCAGAATGACCAAATCATCACGTAAGATCATGCAAGGGCTCCAGCGCTTTCGTTGAAGAACGAAAAGATTGTGGGAAACGTTGCTGTTCAGTAACTCTCCATCCCTTTAGTTTGCCAGACCTGGTCAAACCCAAGTGCACCTAGGAGAGGAAAAACTTGGCTCTAAGCTCTCTCAGTTGAGCTAGCCTCCTTTGATCAGTGCGGTATTTTGGGACTGGTTCTTTGCACACCCCTAAGTGATGAGTATTGGGGAGAAAGTAGCTGGGAGACTGGGCAGCAAAAGAAAATATAAAATGCAAGAGTAACATGATCATTAAAACAAAAAAACGGAAAGAAAGACAACATAAAAAGAACAGGGTACAGTTAAACTTTCATAATTGCTTTTCTCTCCGAATACACGGTTTTATTTTTCATGCAGCTTTTTCGAACCAGCCATGCACCAAAATAAGCAAAATCGAAAGCTGCAAAAGCTGCAGCAGTGCAAAAGTCCTCTCGGTGTGAGTTATGAAACTACTTCATGTAGCCAAAAGAAAAAATGTTATCCAGCAGCTGCTGTTGAGTTTTTGCTTGGTGCCATTGCAATAGCAAAAGTCTGGTTCAGAAGCACATATCAGAACAGCAGCTTTACCTCAAGCCCACCAACCTGTCTCTCAGAAGATAGGACAGTGACTTTCTTGACCTGGACACACAAAGCGTGTTAAGGTTCAGTTTTCTTGCAATAAAACATATAGGAACAGCAGAAAAGCAGCCCCTAGCAGAATACCCTTTGGCCACTACAGCAGGGTGAAGATACCACCATGAACAGGAGAAACAGGATTGCTTTGCATCATGATTTACCATCTTAAACACGTGCAGGTGAAGGAAAACACCCTCCCCGGAAGGTGCCTGGCCAAGACGCATTTCTGGAAGTTCACAGCAGAACGTGTCTACCTCAGAGCAAGACCACTTCAGAGAGGATCAGATTAAGTGGGAATTTCCAGAAATGCAAATCCAGGGCTGACACCAATCCTTGCATCGCTGCAGACCACTGCAGCCTTAGATGGGGAAAGCCCGCACCATCCAGCTATCGTGAACAGCAGCCCCCCAAGACCTCACATGCAGTCACCATGCAAGAAATTCTTCATAATAACCAAGAATATCATTCCTGAACTGTAGCTGCGGAGCTTGAGAGCCCCTGCTCTGTCCCACCCGCACATCCATAAACCACGTGGCACCGTGGGCAGAGCTCTGCATCGCTCTACTGCCCAAATTCCTGCAGCATTTACACTGAGACTTAGCAACCAAAGAGGAAAGTCCATCCACATGTTAAACAGGGTAATTCCAAGGACAACGATTAACCCCAATTAGTTAATTTTGGGGGGGTTGTTTTTCTAACGGGGAATTGGCATGGCTTCTCTCTGTGCTTTGAGGAACCTGTAGTAAACCTGGCTGCTAAAACCCCTTGTACCTGTTCCGATAACCCTCCCTCCACTGCAAGATCATTTCTGTTTAAAAAGTTATCTCCCTTGCAATGGTTTGAAGATGAAATGGAAGCTTATCTGCAGCGCTGTGGGCAGGAAGGGGAGAAGCTAAGCTTAAACCAGGAGAGACTCTGTGACTGCTGCCACTGCAGCCAGGATGCAATTTTTCAGTTGTAATGAAAAATCACATTTATTATTTAAGAGACTTATTACCACGGGGTCTACCTACAGTTTTACTCACAAGCTTCAAATCTGAGCCAGGTAACACCAACATTAAGCAGAGAAGCTGTCTGTTATCCAAGAAGAAACTAGTTGGCAGACAGAACTCTGCTGCTCCAACTTGGTTTCTTTGGAAAATTACCTTTTTAAGGACATTAGCAGGGAGGCTGTGAATGTGTATGGCTACTAACACACAGATACTGTTCCTGTAAGGAGAAAGATTTCCATCACGTATGAACAGCCCTGCTGTAGCCACCTGAGGAGTCTTCTTGAAGCCTCCACAGCAGATCAGCACCTGCAGATCCTAACGCAAGACTAAACCCAGTGACATCCGGGATTAACTGGAGAATAAAGTGACTTTTGAAAACTGATACCATCCTAGTGCTTCTCCACTGGGTTATCTGCAATATTATCTCTGAAGTAATAATTCCCTTTAATTTAGGTGTTTGGGCTTTGGTGGGGTTTTTTTCCCCACATTTTGGTGAGACGCATTCCCTGGCACCAGGAATAAGCCAGTCCCCAAAACAGCCATGTGAAGTATACCCTAGCATCATGGATAACAGCAACGCTAGGAAAAGTGGCACCAAAACCAGGTGAAGAATTCCTACATTCTTTTCTACCAAAAAAATAAAAAAAAATAAAAAAAAACAATCACATTTTTATGATACTACGACTTAAAGCATCAATTCTCTCAGAGACCGTTATACATGTTAAAAGTCAATATTAACTATTAAAATTCAATATAACCAAAAACTAAGGGGAGGTGAGGCTCAATCCTAGGCTGTCCCTCGGAAGTTGCACACTACTGTGCAGTGCACTAATGCCCACGTGCCGCCGAGGTACTCACTCCATCCGCTCCCGTGGGAATCTGCCCGTTGACGTTGAGGGTTCGGAAAGGGGAGTGAGTGGACAAGCGTTTGTCCCATTCACTCGGCCGAGGCTCTGGGACGGACTCCATAAAGTTCTTCTTCAACTCACTGATGTTGGCGTGATGCTTCTTGATTTCTTCTTGGGTCTTATCTAGATCCTATTAGTAAAAGGACAGGATAAATGAAGAGGCACGGAGATGACGCCTGCGATTGCCTAGGCTGCCGCATAGCAAAGCTGCGCTCAGCAGAGTTGTTGCCGACTTCCATCAATTGCGCTCACACTGCAAACACACAAAGGGAACATCCTCTCTCCTCTTTCCTCTTCTATTAATTGGGATAAACTGCAATCGGCACGGAATGGGGTCTCCTCCAGGAGCAGGACGTGCCATCGGTTCATCTCAAGCTACACAGATGACAGCTGAGGCGTAATCACAGGTTTTCCCCATATGGGATTTTTTTAAATTGCAATAGTATGTTTGCTTGGGTTAATTAATTTAATGCCTTTAAATTGGGTGGGTTTGCTTTCTTTTCCCTCTGCTAGCCTGAACATTCATGGGAATAAATGCAGTTAATGTTTAAGAAAATGTTTTCCCAATTTTATTTATTCTCTTCATACCTATTGCTCTTTCATCCTACCAGGAATTATCTTTGGTCCCAGAATACCCCCATTACTTTTTTCCCCCCGTCTCATCTCATCCGTCCAGGAGGTACCACAGGAGGTTTTAGACTCCTGAAGCAAAGATGAGATGACAGCCCTTTAAAAATCAAACTGAGAATTTATTTTATGCCAGATCAATCAAGAAACTCCTGCTAAAATACTTCATCTGGAAAAAGCCAGATTCCTACTCCGTGATGCCAGTTTACAGCATAAATGCACAGACTTCAAGGCAAGTCAGCTCTTTTCAACTTGGTTAGAAATAGCTTTTCCTTGCAAGCAAACCAGAGTTTGTTGAAAACAAAGCTTTTGCATAAAATAGGCATGAGCCAAACGACAACTCTTCTGGACAGTGCCAAAAAGCAGCAAGCCTCACTCATTAGAAAGGGGGAAACTGAGGTCAGTAAAAGCATCACTGGGGAACTTCACTCTTTTTGTGCTTTTAGTTGGTACTCGGCTCACTGGCTTTAGAAGATGGGAGATCCCTAAAGGAGGGTCCCCCCCCAAATATCTGCATCCCTGCAGCCTACCCAGGACACACCGCCCTCCTTCCACAGGGCTATAGCCCCAATGCCTCATTAACAATTAACTGCTCTTTTTGGCACGGTTCTGGGGGAAAAACACTTTTGGCATCTGTCCTGGATGAAAGCACAAGGCAAGTGCCTGCTAGTTAGGGAAAAAAAAAAAAAAAAAAAAAAAAGCACAAATAAGTCTGCTGAGGACTCCAGGGTAAAGCCCTGCCCGGGTCCAGGAGCCCTACAGCTGCTCCTGGCTTAGAGAAGAGAGAAAGACCACCTTGGCTACCCACCACCGCGCAGGAGCTGGTCCTGGGAGGGTTTGCAGAGAAGCTAAAGCCATGAGGAGCTACGTGGAGCCACAACGCGTCTTGAAAGCATCTGGAGGACCAAGCTCGCTAAGCGTTAATGCTTTTCCTCCTGTTCTGCCCTTTTTGTAAGAACACGGAGCGCGGGTTATCGAGCACAGAGCGATAAAAGGCTTTCAATAAAATCAAGCGGCAGCTTCGGGAGTATGAGGTCTGCTGGAAAAACATCTGATCTGCCAAATGCATGGATTAAAAAAAAAAAAAAAAAAAAGGAATAAAGGGGATGAGCTGCTGGGGTCAGCCCTTTTCTAGGGGAGGGCTGGAGCACCTGCAACAGAACTGGTGGGGAGGGCAGCAGAAAGGGAATGGCCTGGAAAAGGGGCTGGGTGCCAGAGCCAAGTATTGCACTAATAGGAAAAAGGGGTTTAGAAGCAATGAACAAGCTCTGCTTGGGGTTGGGGAGATGGAGATGCTTGAGTTGGGCGAAAGAAAGCGACAGGCACAGTCTTCACAGTGCTCCAGCGGCGGCTGAACCCTGCCCGTCGTGTTGCACACCCTTCACTCGTGGCCGAAAGCTAAGTTGTAGCAGTCAAAAAAAAAAAATATTAAAAAAAACCACCCAAAAGCTGCAAAACTTTTAAAATTGAGATTAGGAGAAGGCAGTTAGTACATTTCACTTGCAAGAGATACCAACAGGGAAACCCTACCAGCTGCTGGTGCTGCAATTTTGAGTAGAAACACATAACACAGAGTATCAGAAGCCACAAAACGTCTTCCGTAACACAGTGTATTTAAAAAAAAAAAAAATATATGATTGGCGTGGTCTGTTCTGAGACCGCGCTTGGGCAAAACCAAGTGTAAGGGGCTCCCAAAGGCAAAGGGAAGACTGTGCGTGGAGGGACGAAACGGCTTCTCACCCGCTCGTGAGCCACCCCTGGCCATCAACCCCCGCAGCAGCTCCAAGGGGACCTGGTGCCGGTGCAGGATGGGGCCCAGGGGAGCATTAAAGATGCTGCAAGGCAAGCGAGCAGCGGGAGAAGGGTTGCAATGTTGCAAGCATCGCTGCAACGTTGGCAGCAACGCCCGGAAGGAGGACTCGCTCCTGTGTGAAGCAACGTGGGCATCGCGGTGGCCCGAATGCCATGGAGGTGACAATTTCACCTGTACCTTATCCTCGTTTTTGCATTTTCATAGACTGTCTTTTCCCCCAGGAAAATAATTTATTTCAAGCAAGGAAAAACTTGTAAATGAGCCCCCCCGCCACGATGCATGTTGCTGTGAGCACCCAGCGGGTCCAAGAGCAGACCTGAGCTCTGCCAATCATATATTTTGGGTAAGTATGAGAGAATGAAAGTCAGAAGAGGTAGAAGGAAGAATGCCTGCACATTGTCATGTTTACTGTCACCATGCAAAAGCGTTTCTAAAAAAAAAAAAACCAAAAAAAAAAGGTCTTTCATGCAACAGCATGCAAAACAAAGGCAGTGGCAGAAGAGGAAGAAAACAGTTCAGCGCAGATGCAGAAGATCTAGGCAAACGCAACTGAAAAAAGCTTCAAGTTCATACAAACCTCCAACATTAAATTGCTATGCCTGATATAAATGTTTTCACCATCTAGCCTCTTTGATCTTTTCTGTGAAAATGAAAGAAAAGGGGGAAACAAAAAAAAAAAAAAGAAAAAAGAAAAGCACAAAAAATTAAAATGTTGTTCTTGCGGGATCGACAAATTGGCAAATTAAAAAAGTTAACTGAACGTTGGGAGCGCAGCGCTGTGCCAGCGTGGGGTGGGGACCCAGCCGCAGGACGCCGGCGAGGGGCCACCACCGGGAAGTGGGGGTTCTTGCTCATGGAGAATGGGGAAATGCAATGAGTCCTTTAAAGAGACAGCTCCCAGGGCTTCAGCGGCTGTTGCCTTGCTTTAGTGCTCGCCACAAAGAGACAGTTTACTGGTTTTCTGTGGAAGCCTTGCACGAAGTTCATATTCCTGCTAGTGAGGCACACCTGCGGCCTGGTGTAACTTTTACAAGGTCTCAAGGCGCACAGGAACTATGTCTTAACCACCTTCCCCATCTTGGATATGTCTCCTATTACTTAATCAATACCAAAAAAGCATTATACTTTTTTTTTTCCCCGCATTTCCTGGAATGCACACTATACAGTTTTCTTTGGTTTCTAACTACATTTGTTACAAAGATAAATTTCATAAATCAAACCAAGTATGTTTCTCTCAAACTTTCACATGCATAATTTTAGCAATCAGACTGTCTATGGGACAAAAAGCTATTAATTTTAAAATCAGGTATTTGATAGTTGCAGTTTAAAAAAAAAAAAAAACAAACCAACAAAAACCCAACCCACAGCACATAAAGAAATTGGAGGACTGTCTTTTTAAACAGGTTGCAGATGCATGAATGATATGGCAAATTTGTTTGGTGAGAGCGTAAAATGGCTAACCTTCCTCATTCTTATCAGTTCTTCCTCTTTTTCTGCAGGCTGCTGCTGTTGGGCAGTGATAAAAAAAAAAAAAAACAGTGTTGGTTCATTTAACTATGTTGAACCTCACTGTATAACCTTACAAAAAACGTGAGCAACCTAGCTGAATTATTAGCACAAACCTGGGGCTGGTCACCATTCGTGGTGGGTACTGTGACCTCAATGTGCGTTTTCCTCACCTACATTTAAGAAATAAATTGGTAAAAACATTTCTTGTTAGTAGACTTGTTCCAAGAGACCATTTAGTTTCAAAACACAGCTGCATAAAGTTGGTTTTGAAATGCTGGGCGAACATGCAAAAACCAACATGCAGTCCTCCGGAAAGAGTTAATGACACCGCAGCTCTCTGGCAGTCTGTTAGCTCACAGCACGTTTACAATAATTCCTCCAGCTTGAGAATTATTTGCATTTGAAACCAGTGCTCTCTAGTGCTTCCGAAGAAGGGCTTCCCACTTGCGTTAGCTTTGCCAGGCAATGTTTTCACATTTCATTTGCAGCTGAATCTCCCAGTGAAATCCTTCCCAAAAGCAACATGCTCAAATTAACAGAGACCGCCTCAAAACCAGAAAATTATTTGTTATGCACAGGTATTATGTTCACAGAGTCAGTGAGAAGAGACCTATCTATAAAATGAAACCTAACATCACAAGTTAAGTTTGTTACTGTCCGTGAGCAGAGAGCCAAGATTGTCTTAACACTTTAAGGAAAGTATTTGAGGGAAACTGGATTGCCAAATACTCTAAAGGCAAAAGCATCGGTGGGTGTTAAAAGAAGTGATGCAGCTACATTTGAGAAACGGTAAATTTGGCACGTTCAAATCCACAATTTCCTCCCACATCTACATTTAAAGAAAAAGAAAAATCCAGTGTTTAAGCATTTAGGAAAAAACCCTGTAATAAGTGAGATGGGATGAATAAAATTTACTTGTTCTCAGTTTAATGCTAGGGAGGGCGAGCAGCCGTGCAGGAAGAGCACTGCAGGAACTCTGGGCCACGATGCACGCTCCAAAGTGCCTTCCTGAAGATCTCTTCAGCATTTTCATTTAAAAATTGCAGGTCACACAGCAACCATCCTTTCTTCACCTCCATCTCCCAACCTTAATTAATAGCGATCTCCCCCGGAGTATGTCATACAAGACCCGCTGCGTGATACGTTAGAGCGAAAATGTGTAATGCTGAGAACAGCTAAATATTCGGAGTCATGCGAAAATTGTATCTCGAGGCATACACCTCTGCTGCAACACTGGAAGGTTTCAGTCAATAAGATGTGCAAAATATTAAGGACACTGTAATATGAACAATCATTTTTCACATTATTTTCACGTACAAGAACAATACACACAGATCAACACCAGCAGAGGTCTCAGACATTTGTAAAAAGCTCAAATAATGTTTCAAAAAATTTCATTTAAACAATAAACCCCCCAAGGTCTCAACAGTGCCATTCACAACTAAAGTTTTAGTCCAGTTTGCAGAAACATATTAACAGCTCTCCCAGAGAAAGCCTATCAATGTAAAAAACATTTGCATGCAGATGCTGGACCAGATCCATATCACTGATTTCACTGGAATCGCTCCTGCTGCCGTACCAGGAATCAGCAGAGACAGCTTAGCAATGGCTGAGCTCTAAATTCAATTACCATGAACTTCTGTGCAATGCTTGCCAGCTTTTTTAACCATGTATCAGGAAGTTGCGTTTAGTTTGACTGCAACCACCAAAACCCAGCTGCCCTGGACCTCCTCCTTCCTCGCACCCGGAGGGCGAGGGCTGGGATTTCCCCGGGACCCCGACCCCCGCACCTCACTCCCACCCGATGCCTGGGAGTGGGATAAATAAACCTCGGGAGGAATAAACCTCGCTGCCCAGGAGGGGAAGGTGCCCGGAGCTGACGCTCTGGGGCGGCTGCTAGAGCCAATGCTCCGAAGAGACTCTGGTCTGACATACCTTTGATGCATCGGCTGGCTCCAGCTTGGCTTTCTCCGGCGGGATCTCTTCACGCCTCACATCGGGTTTCGCTGCTTCTTTTTCTATTTTAGGGGCAGCGGCCACGTCCTTCGTGTCGGGCTTAGCTGGGGCTGGTTCTGCAGCGTGCCTCTCGGCGATGGCTGGGGCAGAGGTGGGACGGGGACTCCTCTCGGGGGTTATCACGGCCGCTGCTGCGATGGGGAAGAGACACACAGGGACAAGGCTCAGAGCAGGCAGCGTTTCTAAAGCGCCAGGCAGTCTTTCCAAATTACAGTGCTGTCGTTTAAAAAGAAAGGGAGGAGGAGGAGGGGAAAAAAGGGAAAAGAAATAAAGATGTTGAGCAAAGCAGCTTGTGCATTTAGTACAGGAAAGTTGTGATTATTTTCCTTATGGCTTAAATAAAATAAAATAAAACCCCACAACAGATGGTTTACAAAAAGCAAGCTTGCACTCTGCAGAGAAGCCACACCAGGAAGGTGAATCTATTTTTGACACTGCCATCGATTTCTGGGTCCTTCACACGCAACAGACGCAGAAGTCCATCTCAATGCAGCCATTAAAATAGAAACACTTAGAGCTGTGGGGAGTTCTGGACTCATTGGCATCTCCTCAACCAGAAACGGATGGTTTCTGGAAGGGCAACACAGGCTTTCCCCCGTCTCCCCAATCTTTTCAGCAATTCAGACAAAAAAAAAAAAAAAAAAAAAAAAAAAAAGCAAATCAAAAAAAAAAAAAAAAAAAAAAAAAAAGAAATCAACAAGCATTGCTCTATAAAACTTTACAGCAAGTTCCAGGCGGGTTTCAAAGCGGGCTGAGGCTGCGTGTCCGCGATGGGTATCTCTGCTGCAGCCAAGGCACCGCTGCAAGAGCATCACCAGCATCTCCAGATCAGTGACAGCGCAGAAATGAAGAGCATGCTGCCAAAAAAACCATCTTTCCAGAGAAGGATGACAGTCTTAAATACAAGCACTAGGTCCACACAAAATCAACTGCCTACTCTTTCCTTCCATTCCCAATTTCCCAGACAGTTCCTGATCCCTGAAAAGCCTGATACCTCCAAAATATTCAAGCCAATACTGTGCAACAAAGCAAGCCCCAATTAATTCACTGTGCGTACCTATAGACGCAATAAGCTATTTAGTTCTCCTGATTTTGGTTTTTATGGCCGTTCCACTAAAAATACACCTAGTCACCTGAAATAATTTCTTCGACGTAGTCTCATATTCCTAAAGCCACAGTTTATGCAGCAAGGGTCACGCTGTGTAACCTACCCCAGCCAACACTAGGTCACTAGTGTCCATCCAGCTAGTCAGACACCAGAAAATTTGGTGTTAAAAAAGAAATTGTCATTTTAAGTAACTCCTTAGTAAGAATTCCTGTTTCACTGACAAGATAACTGCATCTCATCTGTGTGTATAAAACGTGTACAGAATAAAGTATCCATGTGGCCAAAAACATACAAGGCGGAGGGGCAACAAAGAACCTGATTTTTCAGAGACTGAAATTACACTTTAAAGACAAACTCCTCAATGCCACGTCTTGCTGAAAATCCACACTAAGACCCCAAACCACCACTGCCATCTCCGTTATCTCCCCCCTCTTCTGCACGGCAGTTCATTTCTGTGAGCCAGACGTCGTGTTATCCTTTCGGAAGGACAACCGGTGCCGTGTCCCGGTGTTATTTATGCCACGGAAGCGGTGACAGCTGCCGGGGAGTTGTATGGAGGGACGGTGAGATGGCAGGGACAGTCGGGATTAGGAGGATGCCAGGTGTGAAAAGCTGTTGCGGTGGTACCTGGCTCCTTCAGGACCGGCTCTAGTTCGCTCATCACCACCATTTTTTCTTCCTCCTCCTCCTCCTCCTCCTCCTCCTCTTCAGTTGGGCTTATCTCAACACTGACAAGAGCACGTTTGGCTAAAAAAGTTATGCAGGTGTTAAAATGCCACCTTGAAGATCAAGTAGCAAATGAAATACTGCCATCAGTAAATCTGCACGGCCACCTCCTGATTCTCCAACAGTTATTCAGAGCATCAAGACGTGCAGGAAAAATAACAACAGATACCAAGCTTTTGCTTTGCCATTCAACAATAAGTTCTGGGCTGTCCAGAACTGCTTTATTTTAGTTACATTTTCTTGATTAACTACCTTTGGCTATTTTGACACATGACAATTTAAAGACAGTAAAAAGTGCTGCTCCAAAATATGAGATTTAAAATACCAATCATCATCACTCTGGCCAAGAAAACAGTCCCTACTGGGAACAAAAGTGTCAAGAGGAGGAAAACGTGCAGGAGGTGCATGAGAAGAAGGGGCAGCTGCAGCAGGACGTGCTCGGGTCTGACACTGGCCACTGTCTGCTCTGCTGCAGCCCATCCCGTGGAATATCCTCGAGTCTAAGCGCAGGGGCTGCTTTAGTGGTTTTTATAATAGTCAAGAAAATGGGTGAAGTTCCCAGACACCTCCCTCCACGGCTTCAATCTCCCCTCCCGGCAGTGACTAACCAACTCTGCTTCTAATTATGATTGGGGTGGACCTGTCTGCAGCAGTGAAGTTGCTCTAAAAAAAAAAAAAAAAAACCAACTAGGGAAGAAGCTGGCTCCCTAGCGAAGAAAAAAAGCAGAATGTAGGTGACCTCCAGCAGTCCCGGAGCACACGACCTGATTTTCAGGCACCGCACGTTCCCACAGCTCAGGGGAACGAACCTTGCAAGAAGGGAGAGTAACAGAGGAGCGTTAAAGGGCATCGCACACTTCACCTCAACACGCAGGCACACAGCCAAGCCACGGCACGGCACCGCCTCGTCTCACCCCGATAAAGCAGCGCTCACGTGTTACGGCACACTTGCAAAGCCGAGTGTGATTTTAATGGCAACGGGCACCACTGCAAACGATGCAACCTCTGTCCTACAGCACTGCATCACTTCAATCCAGCAGGACACGGCACAGGCGGCCGTGGGAGCCGCGCCTACGCCAAACGCCGCTGCGGCTGTACCTGACCATGTCTGCAACGGCTTCGGTAGCTTTGGCTCGGCAACGGGAACCTTAACCACCTCTACCTTCTCCTCCTCCTCTTCCTCCTCTGCAATGGGTTTCATTTCAAAAGTTTCAAGAGCACGTTTGGCTAGAAAGAGGTTTGCATGGGTTAACAGAGTGGTCGGAGAACCGCGCGGACACACAGCGGTTGCCGCAGCAAGAGTGAGAGGAGACCCCTCTCCAAGGCAGCGGCTGAGAACAGCAGAAGGTTTTTAAACCAGGCAGCTTAATAGCAATTTTTCACCACGCAATTGCATGTCAGTCTTTCTAGTGCTGCCAGGCCCAACGGTGTATTGGATGAGAGGGGAAAAACCAACACAAATAAGGTCTGCGGGCTTCTTGCGCAGGCAGGGGTACACGGGGACACGCGAACGGCTCTCGAGCACGGTACCGGGATGGGGTCTGCCTGCAAAGTCTGGGGAGATGCAGGTGCTGGCTGGCGACATCCGGGAAAAACACACCCAGGCTCCTCTAGGTAAAAACCTATATAAAAACTAGCAGCTTTAATTAAATGTACTTGAGTGATCAACTTCAAATCTAAAAACTAAGAAGATGCAGCCATCTATCCTGGTGTCTTAACTGTTAATTCTCCACCTGCCAGGCGATGCTGACTGGTGAGAATTCAAGGCGAGAGCGTGGTGAGGAGGCAATCTGCCACATTACTTTATGAAAGCTTGCTCTAGATTTCATACCAGAAAAACAGTGATGTCATCAGCACGCTGTGAAAAAACCAGGGTGGAAGAAGGGAAGCGGAGCAGTACACAACACGCTTGCATACGAATTATCCTCAGCCCTAACGCACCACAGGCATTCGCTATTTAAGTGATGAAGACTGCAAATATTTGACACCACCACTGCTGCGATATGCTTATTAGTATTCACATATGCTGTTGCACCTCCACACCCCTTAAGGGCGTTAGTATTTATTAACAGTACTTATCTTAAGAGAAATATAAGCTCCATGTAGCAAAATGGGCGGCATTTCTCAAACCACCAAAAAAACCCAGAATATGCTTAAAAAATGGCAAGCAGGTCCTGGGATGGAGAATTTCAGAAGCTTTACAAGAAGTTTCAAGATCAAACTTTAAAGTTTTCTAATCCACATTTACAAAAACACCCAAATTTGTTAAGGAGACAGTTCTCAAGTGCCAGCACTTCCTAAACTTTTTCCCCACCTCCCCACAAGAATTACAGTCTAACAAGGTGCAAGGTGGAAATTTAGCGAGTCTCCCAGAGCTGGGGCTCTGCCGGGCTGTCTGTCCTCTGACTGCGAAACTCTTCTTGCAAAGAAACGAAAAAGAAAGCCGCCAGATTTGGTGAAACTTTGAGTTGTCAGGAACAAGCATGTAAAGGATAGGAAAGGCGCTGCAGAAGAGTTGTAGCCACCACCACAGCTATACCTGGCTTCTCTCGGATCTGATCCGCTGGTTTTGGTTCGGGAACCTCAACCACCACCACCTCCTCCTGCTTCTCTTCCTCTATGGCTCTGAACTCAACTTTTTGAGTCGCACGTTTAGCTGAAGAAACGGGGCACATGTTAACGACTGCCCACACAGCAGATGGAAAAAGGCTGAAGACTTCAACGGGGACAGAAGCGTTACATTCACAGGCTGCTCTTTTCCAAGCTCTGACATTTGGGTGCAGGATTGCAGCGGGGATTTCTCTACTCATCTGGGGTCGTAATGGCCTACAGGGCACTGCCAAGGGGCAGCCAACAGCGCCGGTCCCCTCGCCTCCGTGCATTGTGGCCGGGTAACCTCGCACGCCCGGACTGCAGGCAAGCAGGCATTTTGCTTTGCTGTGGTACGCAGCTATTTTTTTCCCTCCCGGCTCTGAGGCATGAAGCCCAGGCTCGGGGCATCACTAAACCCATGCCAGGAGCAGAGGCAGCCCGGCTGCTGCTGGCCACGGGGCACTGGGGCAGCCCTGCTCCCTCCCGGGTTGCAGCACAACCTCAGGGCTCAAAGCAACGCTGTTCTTGCTCCATCAGGTGCCCTTGGGGCAAAGGGATGCTCCCCCTTTCCTGGATCCTCTTGGTGCAAAGGGATATTCCCCTTTTCCTGGATCCTCTTGGTGCAAAGAGATGCTCCCCTTTTCCTGGATCCTCTTGGTGCAAAGGGATGTTCCCCCTTTCCTGGATCCTCTTGGTGCAAAGGGATGCTCCCCTCAGCCCTGGATCCTAACTTTACAAGCACGCCATGATCCAGATCAAGGGGAGCAAACTTCGGCACTCCCCCTTCCATGCCTCACCTCTCCTAGCCTGCTGCTATCCGGCTCTTTTAAAAATGTCAGGGACAAGCCCAGCTGATCGATGTGCCACAAACTTCAACATTAGCATCACTTTAACAGACGCTGAAAAGGTTTCAAACAGTTGTGGCAAAAAATCTCCCCCCTCAAGGAGAACTATGTAATTTATGAAGCTATGTTAAACAAAACAAGTCCTACAATAGCTTAATTCCTGATTTGCTAAAAGGAAAACACGTTGAGATTCAATGAGGAAATATCTTTACAGCCAGAACTTTGCCGTAAGCCTTCAGCACCCACCCACACCCTTTTTTGTCAGTCAGTTCTTGCGAGTACTACTATCAGTTTGCATTTTATATCCAGGTCTTGTATTAAACTGAGAAGTAATGCTTTGTTTTTTTTTTTAAGCAGGGAATTTAGGTGGTATTTAAGGAGTATTTCAGCATCCTACTGAATCCAGCCAAGGAGAGGGAAGGGGCACCAGACACTCACCTCCATCGAGGCTCCTGGAGGCTCGCTTACTTGCCGTGCGCTCGAACTGGGGAGCGGGTCGGTCGATCAAGGCACTCGCCTGCCTCGTCTGCGCCTGCGTCCGGCCGCTGTAGCGGAACTTGGAGCCCAGCGCCAGGAACCTGCTCTTTGGGATGGCCTCGGTGGAAGTCAGCCTGAAAACCACACGCACGATTTAAAAATCATACCTCCAGATCTAGGAAGCGGCAGGTAAAGAGAAATTAAAATACAAATTAAAGAAGTCTCTGCACACGCTTGATTAACAAAACAACATACACTAGCAATACGCCCCACATCTACATAAGCTAGAAGACCTCTGCCTTATGTATCTTATGAAGCGGAAGCTGCCTAGAAATTTGTTGCAATGTAAATGCTTAATGTCTCTGCAACCGTTTCACTCCAATTTTGGTGAAACACCAAGGAACACTGAAGGAGTGCTCATTTTCAGCAGCTAATCTGAAGCATCTGTTATTCAAGGCGAGCCTACCATTTAGAAAACCCACCTGAAAAACGTGTGATGTTCAACACATACTTTCCACAGCTTCTTCGCCGCCCGATAACTTGGTAGCTTGAACCCAATTGTACTTTCATACTGTTCTTGCTGTGGAAAATATAAGTTATTTAGGTATACCAAGAAACAAATGTGGCAGGCATCCAGTTCCCAGCCCATCGACCTGTTCTGCTGCAGCACGAACTGCTGGCCTAGCCCAAGAGCAGCTCCACCACTCCATGATGTGCAGGAGGAGCGCGGGTCCGAGAAAAGACAGGGCTTGCCCACAAGCCCGGGCACCTCTCAGGATGCACCAGGATTTGCGGAGGAGCATGCCATGGGTTTTGCAGCCGTTCAGACTCATTCACCTCCCCAGCAAGCTGCCAGCTGTGGGACGGGGGTTGAAAATCGACCTCCCTGCAAGGCTGGGTCACAGCAGTTGAAGCAGGAGGAAGGAGGAGAGGAGTAAAGAGGCAGAACCCCATTGCAGCCTCTCTCCCCACGGTGTTTCCAGCAGCCAGGCTGCTCCGGGGATCTCCCTGTTCACGAGAGGCAGCGTGAGGGCAGCCACCCCCTGCCTGCAGCAGTCTAAGTCAAAAGGTATGCCTCTGTATTTTTTTTAATTTTTTTTTTAAATTTTTTTCTTTAAGTGAGACAAAGAGCCTTTGTCTTGCCCTGTTTCCGAAAAAGGAGTTAGTCCTCTCCCACTCTCAGCTGTGAACTTCCCATCGCTTTCCTCTGGATGCTGGGAATACCACACAGTGCCAGGAGGTGGTGCTGGATGACACGGTGTTCAAATTGTCACCCCCTGTTTTACAGCTTCAGCAAGGTCAGCGGGCTCTACCTGAAGAGCCGAATAAACTTAATACCAGGCCAAGCTCAGAAACCCAACAGAGTGTAAAATGCTCGTTCAGAGAAAAGCCTGCTCCCTCCCCCCACTTTGTTTTAGCGAAGCATACACGTTGGTGATGATCAGAAGGCAATTAAAGACGACACGAGCACAAAGAAGTCAGAACGTACCTCCCCTGGCCGAATCTTAATAAAGAAGCTGCTGCGTTTGTAGGAAATCTTCAGGACTTTGGGCCAAGGGAAGCGATTGATTCTCAGTTTATCTTTGTAAACAAGAAGGCCACTGGAACAGACTCCCAGAGTGATATCCACTCCTTCCAAGTCCTGGGAAAGCAGATGAGGACTTAAACAGTGTCCGAATTACAAATTCCAGGTCGATGTCTGTCCTCCAAATTACCCCTCTGGCCTTCCCCTGAGGCTCTCCGGAATCCAGCTCCCCACCACCCAGACCTCAGCTTCTAGCTCCCTATGCAGTGAGGGCCAGGCTTGCTTTTCCTTCACGTTTCTCCTTGCACCCTCCTCCCTTCTGCAGATCCCTCCTGCGACGCTGTTTGCTCAAAGGGCTGGTCTAGAGTCTACCCTGCGTTTCTCTGAGCGGAGCAGCTCACCTGGCAGGGTCAGAGCCTTATTCTAAGTTCCTCAGAGCAAGGACCTGCCTACATCAGTAGCTTTGTAAAGTTTCCTGTAATATATAAATAATAAGCAATCGGGAAGAATCACTCTTTCAACTCTTGCGACGGTGCTTGAGGCATTTCTGCTGCGTGTCTGTGTTTCTGTACCAGTAGCCAGCTTACTTCCTATTCTTTTAAAACAAGTCTCCTGAAATAGGTGAACTTGCTCCTGCAAAGGAAGAATAACCAAATTACAAAATCCACAGGCAGGTGCACACACGCTGATCCTCACCTTGGCTTGGTGAAGGTCGACTCCATACATAGACAGCTTTTTTGCATTCTCAAGAAATTCCAGGTCTGCTTGGGCTGGAGTCATGGATCTGGGGAAAGAGAGAAAGGGCTCGGTATTCCCACAACTGTTGCTTTTAGGTGGGGACAGATCAGACTTCACGAAACCATTTACTCATTAGATTTTCTTTTACTTCCAACACAAATTTGTGTCCAGATGAAGAACTGCTCTATTGCTCTGAATGCACAGATCTGTGCTTTGGGACATTCGCGTAAAACAGGTGCACCTTATTTCTGCGGAGCTGTACAGGCCCCAGACAGAAAGCAAGCTATCCGGCGAGGAAGTGCAGTACGGGGTCCAAAACTTGAGTCAGTGGAAGAAACAGGAGTTCAGCTGAAGGCAGAGGGTGACAGGTACTGTCCTCCCAGACCTCCTGCCTCCAGACCGCCCCAAACCCAGCGACTGTTCTCCAGACCGAACGCAAGGACAGCTGAGACCACTCGGCAGCGATTCCTACTGGGGCAGACCAGATGAATGAGAGGTTTTCTGGGAACAGATGGTACCCTGCCCGCGGGAGGGGCAACAGCACACAACTTTGCTTAACAGAAACATCCTGGTAATGGAGGCTATTATCAACGTTATTGAAGTGCCCTAGTTAATAAGTTTCTGGTGTACGAGGTACATCTAACAGCTCTGCTGGGAGAGCGTTCGGCTGTATACACTTCATTTTGTCCCCTGCGTTGATGTCTCTCTTACTGAGCGCTCGCATACATCTTGCGTGCCATGCAAATAGAGGTTTTAGCGGTGGGAGACAGGGCAAAGACGACTGTAAGGACAATCCTCTAGGAAAGACCCAGGAGCACTCGCCATCTCCGACACGTGCCTTGCGCTTTGCAAGTAAAGTAGCCGGAGACGGAGCATGGTTTAGCAGAGTGTCCCCACTGAAAACCCTCTGACAGTTTAATGTTCACAGAACACAGACCAGAAATTAAACGGGTGCATATTGCTTTCTCCCTCCTGCATGCACGAGCAGATTAAATATAACTAAGTCCTATACCTTGAAGTATCCTTCTAGTGAAGCCATGAATAATTTGGCAACGTGATCTGCCGCTTCCAGCACAGCTAACGGCCTTTGACTTCAAGTCATGAAGCTTGTCAGTGGCCCCGGACTTATTTTCCCTCATTTCCTCTCCTCTCAGTGCAAATGGAGGGGAATCAATTTAAAGTATTGATTTGCGGGGTTGAGCGAGGTGTTAATTGTAGCTTTGGTCACAGCCGGGGGCACACGTCCGCCCTTCCCTACCACACTCAGGTTATTAGTTCCCATCTGCCTGCGAGAAGGTCTTGTCTTTGCTCTGTTCTCATTATTACTGCGTCATCCAGCAGCTTTTCACAGGTCAAGAGGCTGCCAGTCGAGGGCCTCGGTGTCACCAAGTGGTTTTAGGGGCTTTTTCTTTGCCCCGAAAACCCAAAGGTATCTCTGGGAGGGTGCAGAAGCTGCCGGCCAGCTGCTCTCCACGCCAGCCCTCTGCACTGGCGAGCACACAGCTCCGCACAGCTTCTGCAATCCAAGCACTCAAGAGCACCGTAGTGGTTTAGCCCACCGAAACCAGGACAAGCATCTATGAAAATAAGCTCAAAATAAGATGAGGAAGAGGTTTGGTTGCTGTGACCCTTTAATCTGGTACCAGGGGGACTCCCAGGAGTCCTTCAACCCTACCTGAAGAAGACACGTCTGCCCAGGTGATGGCTGTGCTGGGAAACACGAGGACAGCCTAACTGCAGCTTTACACCTCCCACATCATCTGGAATATTTCCACGTTAGAAAGTGTTGCTCATTAAATGTGGCAGCAGAAAACCCCAAACATGCTGTAGGCTACAGCGTATACACAAAGAGATCTGCTCCAACCAGACTGCAATCCAAAAATTACATAAATCCCAAAGCAAATAGGAAAAAAAGACAAAGGGCAAGATTAAAACAGGGAAACTTTGTAGTTTCACATGAAATAAAACCCACTTTCACAGCTATCCTGTTGAAAAAGAGCACATGTTAATAAACAACTGCAAGACTTTGCATGTGCTTTCTAAAAACATAATTTCTTCTTCACGCAGGAAAAAAGAATTCCAGCTTCTAGAAAGATTTTGTTATAAAGTATTAGAACGTTTTTAAACAGCTGATGTTCTCAGCAGCCAAAGTTCTCAGTAGCTGAAAATTCACACCTTACTGCTAAAGCTTCTGTTGCCAACATATAAAAAATGGTGCAGCAGGAAACCAAAAGCATACAACAGAGGTGGGGAAAATACCAGAAAGCCCCATTATTTCCATTATTTCATGCCGCTGTGCACAAACAAGTCCTCCAGCCGCCGCACCTTACCTGTATGTTTTATGAAGCTCCACCACCTTCTCTTCGAGCTCTTTTGTCTGGTTTGGGGCCAATTTAAATTCACTGATGTAATCTGGGCTGTGTAGATCGGGATCGTAGTCTCCCAGCTCGGACTGGACCGTGTACGAACCCAGCAGAGCCAAAGTCGCAAAGGAACAGGGCAGCCGCCCTGTAACGATGTCTTGTCTAAGCTGAAGACACAAGTAATACCTGGGGAGGAGTGGGGGAAGCAAAATACTATTTACAGAGAGCATAGAGAAACCTAAGGATCAAACAGAATCTTTTTTTTATGCCACTGATAAATGCAGCATGATGCTTCCACCTGTATTTTTACTTATGGGGTAATATTCCCACAGTAAACAGCATGGAGGACAGGAGGACTTTACTCTGCAAAGGGAGTAGAGGACACTTATGATCAGAAATTCTTGTTTTTAAATAAAAATGTACTTTTCTACACAAAAACACACGTGCCAGGATTATAAATGATGCTGCTTTACACATGTGGACTTTGGTGAAGAGATGGTGCATCCCACACATCCACTAAAAACAAACAAAAATCCCTCCAAACCGTTAAGACATCTGATTGCCTTGCTGAGGGGTGGAATAAAACCCAAATATTAAAAATTTCTATTCAGTATTCACTGCTTTGCTGAGTGAACTCCCTGGCTGGTAGCAAGGTTCCCAGGTACTTCACCTGGTGATGTCCTCTGTCAGCTGCGCAGGATCTGGTGGATAAAACTTGACGTTGAAGGTAAAATCCCACGGCCCTCCTGCAATTACAGAGAAGAGGTTGAGAAAAAGAAACACACCAAAACAGCTTCATGATAGTCAGTCGTTACAAAAAAGCTGGGGATATCCAGTCTGATCTTCAAAATACGGCCGGCGGATCGTAACACCGATTCTAATACTGCTCGCTCGCACAGCGCTGCTGCTTAGCAGATGGTGTAAGATACGATTTCATTTACAAGAGCTAAGATAGAAGCAGGACAAAACAAAGCAGGGCAGGCAAATCCACGTGAATAAAGCACAACTTGTGGGAAAAATTAAATTCATTGCTAAGAGGCTCAATTACATATTTTTTCACTGATTGAAAAAAAAAGATTCATGAAGAGAGGTCAGGCGTGTGCCATATGTTAATGAATTAGTATTGTTTTATCACTCGACCCAATTTTCAAATTTCTCGTAAGGAGCAGATGTGCTAATTCACTCAGCAGCCTAATGCACTGCGGTCAGGCGGTCAGCCCGCAGTTTAAACTCGGCACAACGTGAGCATCAATCTCTGGAAGAAACAGTGAGGACCCAGACAGGAAGAGCTTTACAAGTCCAGACCTAAATGCTTTAATACAGCTTGTTGCAAACCTCATACAGCAGCGCTGTTACAGGCATTAACTGGAGTGAGAATCCACATAATCACACGTAGAATTGGCATTATATGTGGTATGGACAGTCTAGGTGACACAGCTGAAGGGGCTACTCTATTTTTCTTTATAAAAATAATCACGTTTACTTGCAGAAAATAGTCCTGACCATCCCACTAAGCACTCAAAGTAATTTTCATAGTTACAACTCCCCCCTGTCGTGCCCTTTAACACTAGTTCAAAATAATATTTATTTCAGAAAGAGAAGACACCCCTGCGCTTGACTTGCTCGGAGATTTATCGCAATCTCAAACAGGGAGGAGGGGGGGGACGTAACATTCATGGATTTACTTCTTATGCAACACCATAACTGGGATTAAACACAAGGCATGTTGTTTTCACTAGACCCAGCTCAAAACAAGTTATTCCAAGACGACGTTTCAGCTAGCAGAGGTTTCCTACGTATTGCAAGGAGGACGCAGAGACCGACTCCCTACATACGTACAACACATTGGTGTACACGTAACTCATATGTACGTTCAACATTATTCCAGTAAACTCAAATAATTTGCCATTTAACTCATCTCAGGGGACCAGATTCCACAGCTGGTTGCTCATTACTCTTACGAGCTGAATTTTACCTGCACGGCAGAGCAGCTCGTGCCCTTTACACACATCCTGCTGTCGATTCAAAGAGAAGCTGGTGAGAGCAGGAGCTGTTCCCACCTCACAGCCCTGCAGCGTTTCCCTCCTAATCTGTACTTAATGACACACTTTGTTCTGCACCCCCCACCAAAAGCATACGTAAAACTGTATTTCACTTCCGTAAAACAGTATTTCACTTTTGTAAAACAGTATTTCACTTTCGAAGCAGTCAGACTTGCTCCTGAGAGAAAACAAAAGCCTCTAAAATTTATTGGACGCTGCCCTCCTCTTGAACTAATCCAGTGCTGGCAGACCTTAAAATACAATTTTGGAGAGCATCTGGCATTTGCCCTGATACTACTCAAGCCATTTATCATGCCAGTACCCCCTATTTGGACCCCAAAACAGCCTCAGAGTCCATAAAACCTTGCTACAGCATGCAGTTTTGCTCAGGCTCTCCCAATCTCGCTTGAGATTCAAACGGTTCCCACTGACACCTCTTTTCCCATCCTCCAACAGGAAGCAGATCTCCCATTTCAGCATCGCATGGCAGTAAGGACAGCGTGGGTTTGCATGGGGCGAACACACCCCGAGTGATGTTTTCCCAAGGAAATGACACATTTTCCTAAATCTAGAGCATCATTAAGTACTTAAGAAGAAGAGAGAGGATGCACAGGCTGCTTGAACTTGTGCTGATCCCTGCCAGACACCCTCACTCAAACCCGCACCCATCCTTGGGCCCCCTGGATTGCCTGCCAAAGCCACACTTATTTAGGGAAAGGGGAGAAACCACACACACCCGTATGACAAATTCGATCTACTTACCATGAACCTGTTTTTTTATTTCTTTGGCAGGATCCAGCCACGTCTGTAAGAGGATAAAAACATTCACAGTTTAACAGACGTTCCAGAAACACCACAGAAAACTGCAATTCGCTAAAAAGACGGCAAAAAGACAACATGACACGAACGCAGCCATGGAAACTGGAGAGACGGTGCATTTTTCACAACTTTTACTCCAGTCTGTGGTCTCGGTGGGTGCATTTCCAACCTTTCACCCACCAGGTAGTCACAGGGGAGGCACGAGGAACAGGAGGAAAAAAAAGCAGCAGCACATTAGGGCTGCAAGCACATAGCAGCAGCTACGGTTGCAACCGCATCCAGCTACAAGGGGCAATTGTGCAACACATTTTTTTTTCTCCAGCACCTTTGCAAATAGGCAAATAGGATGTTTGCCTTCATTTTAGGCACCCTGTCTCCATGCTTACCCTATTCAGAACAAAGATTGCCAAGACTTTCTATAATTAGCTATGGTTTTTAATGACCTAATCACTGAAATAAGAGTGAAAATATCCAATCGCTGGGGAAGGCTGGAATATTTTACGGGAGCGTGACCTAAACTTTGTATCTTTTAAGTATGACTCAAGTTTCTAGTAATTATCTCAGCTACAAATTTAGAAATATATCCTTTTTTCCCCACCCTCTGTAATTTGGGGTTTTGTGGGATGGTGGTGCAACGTAAGCCTCAAAAAACAACTCCTGCTTTTGCCAGCATGGTCTGAGCAACTCCCAGCACGTCAAGGCTGAGCCTTTCCCTTTGCAGAGGTCAGGGTCTGCCCCGCTGAAGGCGACGGCGCGGCGCTAGCAGCCCTCCTGAAGAGTCTACGTTAAACCACCTTCTTCATTTTCATGAGCCCTGAGCAGGATTTGGATGTCCAGGTCTCCCGAGGTAAAGGAATTAACTTATTGAATCCCCCAAGCTAATCTGTCTTGACCAGAAGGACACGTAACTTCATGGCAGGGAGACAGTGATACTTACATTTAATCTTATCTTTTCATATGCTTGCTCCTCTAACCTATAAAACTGGGGATACGAAATCCATTTGGAAGGTAGACATGCCACTCGCTGTCTTTTTAGGGCCACCGTTTTAAGCAGAGCATCTCTGCGTCCACGCCGGTGCCACGACTGCTCGTTACTGCAGCGGTAGCGCTGGGTTTCGGGCAGCCGAGCCCGCGGTGCAGTCATGCATCCCCGGCACTCGCCCTGCCTGATCCAGCAGACAATGGATCGGGCAGGGCGCGTACAGCAATTAACGGCACTTTCATCCACCCTGTGCCATGAATCAGTGGGAAACAATCCTCCCTTTCAGAGCAGCACCAGCAGCAAGCTCCTTGGTGTTGACCAGCTGCTCTATCCACTGTCACAATCTCCTGTTCCCACTGTCACCCTCCGCTATTCCCATGTGGGAAAACACCCATCCCCAGGAACGTTTATTCCCTAAACACCAAGGTGGAAAATCCCGCATACAACCACAGCTGGGGAAGGGTCTGGAGCACGAGTGCTGTGAGGAGCGGCTGAGGGAGCTGGGGGTGCTCAGCCTGGAGAAGAGGAGGATGAGGGGAGACCTGATCGCTCTACAACTCCCTGAAAGGAGGGGGTAGTGAGGTGGGTGTTGGTCTCTTCTCCCAAGTAGTAAATGATAGGATGAGAGGAAATGGCCTCAAGCTGCATCAGGGGAGGTTTAGATTGGATATGAGGAAAAATTTCTTCACGGAAAGGGTAGTCAAGCATTGGAACAGGCTGCCCAGAGAGGTGGTGGAGTCCCCATCCCTGGAGGTGTTCAAAAAACGGGCAGAGGTGGCACTTTGGGACATGGTTTAGTCTGGTCTACCCTTGATTGGTTTAGTGTGGACTTGGTAGTGTGGGTTAATGGTTGGACTGGATGATCTTCAAGGTCTTTTCCAACCTAAACGATTCAATGATTCTATGATCCTAACCCTTCCCTGTCCAGGAATACAAACGGGCATCTCCGCCTGCTCCGCACAGCTGCGGGTGAGGTGCAGCAGCTCATCTGTTGGTTTCCTACTAAGACCATTTCTACCTGTGAATCAGTAACTCAGTCTCAGGCCTTGTTTGAAGTTACAGCAAGAGAGAGATGGAGCTTCAGATTTCGAAGTTCAATGAAACATAACCAGAAAGATTCCCCAAAAAAACCTAAAAATGGTGTTTTCCCCCATCAGAGCAAACCAGACTTCCAAGCAGCTTACTCTGCACTGGAGCTAGACTCATGCACAGCAGCTTTACCTTCCTCAGCTCCCAGCTCTGGGACATAAATCTGACAAAACTGTCTGGTTTAGGTCCCTCCAGTTAAAAAGCTGCACAGCCCCTTCGCCCATGTCGGCTGGTGGGGAGGGAGGTGCATGCTTTTGCTTTAGGAAGAATCGACGCCAGCGCTCCTGAACGTGAGAAGAGCAAATCCCAGGGGTCTGGGAGATGCAGCAGTGAGCTACCCACAGCACAAGTATGAGAAGTTGAGCTGCTCCAGCTAAACTCTTTTTGCTCTTAATTGGATCTAAAAGTACAGCTATCCCTCCCTCTGCAAGCACAACAAATTCCTCGAGTAAAAAATCCAGGCTATATACATGGAAGCAGATTTCACGTACAAGAAAATAGCAAGACACCAGAGACAGCAAAACAAACCCAAGACAGAGCTCTGCCTGCCTCAAATAGCGATGGGGTGTTCTTTTGCCTGTGTATTAAAAATTCACACTTGCAGTTATGAAGTATTTAATGACAAATGTCTGTCAGCCAGAGTAACCTGGCCCATAAGTGACTGCTGTAGGTGAAGCATGGGAATAGTCAGAAAGTGGACCAACGTAACTGGTCTAAAGGACATCAAAGTGGGTGCTTGATTTCAATTTAGCACACTTTTGGCTAGCTTCATAAAACAGAGCTTGAGTAATTGCTTGAGTTAAAGTGTAACCAAGGGTTTAAAAGATAAGACACTGCTTGAGTCTAACCAAACAAAGACCTTAAACTGAAGCCATATGAGTAAGAGTTTTGGTATGAAGAGTCACGTGTGTTTTTTCGCAGGGCAAAGCCTCGACTCCAAACTGCTCTGGATGGCTCCAACCAAACCTTGCAAAGAGTGACACCAGCGCCAGGGCAGCCAGCTTTTACTCCTGCTGACTGCTCAGCCTTACGCCTTTGGTGCGTGACACAGGCTCCAGGATTGTGAAGTTCCCCTGCAGTGTGGTGACATTCAGGCTCATCTTCTACAGCCTAAGAGTAGTTAAGCTATTCCTAAAATCACAATAAAAAGTCCTGCTGCTTTTCTACAGTGAGAAAAACCTTATCTTCCCCTAACTTCTTGAGCTGTAGCTTTACAAATTAATGGCATCATTTTGCAGTAAACTAATACAATGAATTTTCTCCAGGTGAAGACACAAGTTCACGTAGCTTTTTTACTAAAATCCACACTCCTGTAGTCATTTATTCACAATTTCTGCCTCTGTGATACCCTCTTAGTCCTTTTTTGGGGAGGACACCAAAAGGAATTTTAAGAAGAGCTTATGCACCACCTCCTCCCCAGGGAAGACGATCCTTTGAAAGAGCCGAGCCCACCCAGGTGCAGAACACCATGCCACAGCAGCTGCTTACCCTGGAGGTCGGTGTGTCCCATATGGCCAAACCAAAGTAGTCTTCTTCCAGGAGATTGAGGTGGTCGCAGACTTTTTTAAGTAGGTCCTGCCCCTTGGCATGTTTCTGCAAATAGAGAAAAGAAATTCTGTAGGATGGGCTGGGTTTTGCCTGCCCTCGTTCCCAGGAGAGGGGAGAAAGGGAACATAAGCAAACCACACCGTACACTATCAAGACGGGGAAAAAGTCCTGAGTAGCTCAAAATCAGATCTCCTGGCTGTTTCTGAGCAACCACCCCTTATAGAAAAGGGCATCAGGCAAAAAATTCAAACCAGAGAAGCAATGGGAACCGCAGCAGGTCTCTCTGCTACCACCAGCTCCGTGTCTGAAGCCCCCCCAAAGCTGAGCTTCTCAACACAACTCAATGAACACCGAGGATTTTTATGGATTTTCCCTCCCAAAGTACATCTATTGCACTGGTATCTCCCAGCTCCAGGCTGTCATCAAAAGATGTTCAACACAGGGTATGAAACTGTATGGTACGCTACAACCCACTGCTACGGTCCCCCATTTTGGGGACAACCTGGCTCAGCAGGGTCACAAAAGAAACAGCGTCCGAGAACCAAAGACCATTGTTTCCGTTGCCTTTTCATCAGCCCGATCTGCTGACGAAACCCAGCTTCTCCAGTTTTGCCTTATGCACCAAAAGCTGCTTAGCACACAACTTCTTGCTTCCAGAAACTTACTTTGAGCACTCCTATATTCTCTTTTTTTTTTTTCCCAAATCCTGCAGAATTGAACTGGCCCGAGGAACAGATACCCTTTTAGTTCAAAAGCATGAAGGAAAGCATCCCTGAGGCACAAAACTATGATAACCAGAAGCAGCCAATCCTATTGGAGGCTTTGCTAAAAAGAAAGTGCAGTTCCAGTGAGGCAAAATGCCTTACTAACGCGTCGCTTGTGCTCGCACCTCTCCTTTTAGCCATATTTGCATGGCAACTGATCCAAGACCATAGCCTTGTTTTATTCCAGTCCTTCAGCTGTAACGTCCTTAGTGCATACGTTACGACTTTATAGGTAACACAGTCCATGTGTTAGCCTGGATAGTTCTCAAGCAATTGGCACTTAAAGACATAGAGGAATTAAAAACCTTCCATGGCTCTCAATGGGAAAGGATGCAGGAAAGCACTTACTCCTCTTGGATAAAGGCATTTGTGCTGGTCTTTTCCTACACCTTTGCAATTCCTTCCCAATTAAGTCTTAATAAATTCTCAAAATGCAAGAGTAGGATTGTACTGGCATTAAAGCCAAGGGTACTTGTCAAGTCAAGAGGGTCACACCGACACAGCAGCCCCTCCTAATCCTCTCCGCAGTGCCCACCACCACTTTCTGGACCTACAGAAAGAGACTTCTAACACCCTGCTCAAGTCAGGACCAACCACACCACCAGCTCTCCCAGCACCAGTGGCCGTGCAGCCTGCTGGCATTCGAAGGCACTGCCACAGCAAACTCCTGCACAAAGCCACAGCAAGCTGACGCCGGCAGAGATGCTGCCACCAACATTTCGGGGAACAGCTTCTTTTCGGGGGCTGCACGCAAAATCCCCAGCAAAGGCTGGCTGCAGGTGGGGAAGGCGATCGGGGCGGTGATGCTCTGAGCTGATCCCGGGTAGTAAGAGCAGCGACACCGCGACACAAAGGGCTGGCGCTGACCTACTTGCCTGGGATCACCCAAGGTAACTGCTTCACAAGAGCCCTGTGCCCAGATACCCTCTCCTGGCCCATTTAGCCAGCGGGACTGGGGAAAAACAAGCTGATGGAAGTATGCTTGAGTGGTAAGTACCGGATTATTAATATTCTGGACAAGTGCTTCAATACTGAAATAGGGATTTCTGAGAGCTTTTTATTGCCCTGACAGCAAGACGGCCCTGTGAGAGAATGCACAAAATAAAGCAGAAGAAAAGCTCTCAGATGAAAGGGTTTGCAGTGCTGTAAGTCAATGTAATAATTTTAAATTGTTTACAGCAAATATAGTCAACTGCAGGCTAAACACAGCATGTTTTTCTTTACATCCAAGCTCCAGGAGTTACGTTATCCAGCAACCTGATAGGCAAATGGACCTTGGGTGAACAGAAAAGCACAAATCAACTTGACAACCCATTTTATTCAAAGGAAAGGGGCAGAAGATATTTAGACAATCCCAACCTAACACAAAAACCTAAACTCTAGCCTGGGATACAAATGAGAGAGAAGATGAACAGCAAAGAAAGATAACTTTTTTTTTTTTAAAACCTCCTCCCACCTTTACAAAGCAAGGCACCCTCAAAATTGTAGAACAATTGGGGGGTGGGAGGGGGGAAAGATTCCTAGGCACCCAGAGATTTTTACAACACACTAAATAAGTTGTTATAACTTACAGCGAGAGTGTTCTGCAGTAAAGCCTGTCATGTCATTCACTGACAGCAAATTAGGCCCCTACTGAATAGTGTTTGTGGTGATTTTTCAAGGGGAGAAGAAGGGAGAAGGAAAAGAGGAGAAGCACAAACCAACCCCAAAAGTACTTACATCCACAGCACACTCAAAAATGGTGTCATCCAGCAAGACAACTTTGCAGTACATGTTTCTGTGTCTTTTTACTGCTTTCTGGGCAGCTTTCAAATCCTTGTCTGCTTTGGTCTCTGGAGTCTCTTGTTTCGGCTCTGGCTTGGCGCGCTCTTCCTTCGCTTCCCCTCCTTCCTTGCCCCCGAGGTCTCTGCTGTCCAGCTCCTGGTCGTCCCTCCTCTCCTCCTGCGCAGGCTGAAAACCCCACATCACCCAAGTTGCAATTTAGACGTGTCAAGCAAAAAAAAAAAGGTCCCATGAAACAAGCACCGCGTAGGTGCACTGTAGGGCTGGGATCTCACCCCAGAATTAGTTATCTGACTTAAATGTGTAACCCAGGACCTGGAGCAGCAGCTTGGATGAGCAAGGTAAAGACATTAATTTTTAAAGCCCTTCAAGTCGTTCTCAAGTCCTCATTTAATAAAGGATGTAATAAAATAGAAAGAAAAAAGGGTTGATGAGAGAAATCAGGGCTGATTACATCGCGCAAACCTTCATGGTCTTAATGACAGCACCTTTTGGGCTCGTAAGTTTTTCCCCTCGTAGGCAAGACACCCACTGCACCCACTGCACATGCCCCCATGCTCTCACTGCCACCCGGGGCGCTGGGCTTTGCTCCAGTGCGCTGAGCTCTAGGTATGGCAGCAGTGGTATTAAAAGGGGGGATCAGTGCTGAGATTTCACGTCCGTCTGAGCTGACCAAGCAGCCCTCTGCCACCAGAAAGGGAAGGCAGCCTTCATACCACTCTCCCCTTGCCTACTGAAGCACTTTGCGAGACAGTTTAATTCGCTAAAATAGCAGAAAGAGATACAGTTTGGGGACAGGAGGAGGAAGGAAGCTGGGTTTGATTTTTTTTTTCTACTGCCATTTCAGCGGGTTAAATGAGTTCATGGCAGGCTCTGACAAGTGCTGGAAGTGACTCGATGCAGCAGGAGCACGCAGCCGCAGCAGAGGAAGAGCAAAACCCTGTCTTTTCAGCCCATCACATCTCATGAAATCACACCCAGGCACAAGTGCAGGGAGGTATTTAAAAACTGAATAATGCCCAGAAGCTGCTGACTTCTGTTCCAGCAGGGCCGGGACAATCGGGAGCAGGGAATCAGTCAAAGCTCGTAATGCCCGTCGGTCAGCATTTATCAAACAGGCAGCACCTCGCAAATGCTTTCACAGCAGAAATATCTGTCGAGTGTCACAGTTCAAAAAGCCACTGATGTTGATCTAAAATAAGAACTAAAAAAAAAAAAGCACAAATGCTTCGTCTGAAACGAACAGCACATTGTGAAGGAAGGCTGTGGGTGCACACTCACATGCGCTCAGAAGCAGCAAATCAAAGTTAAGCAGAGAAAGAAATCATGCGTTTCGTCTTGAAGACACAATTTCTGGGCTGAAATTGCACAAAAATTTCCACCTCCTCCCCATTCTGCTTATCGCAACCCTCAGAGGTATAAAACACGAGCAGAGATCATCCCATGGTTTTCACAGGCTCAGAAATTTGGGAAACGGAAGAAAAAGGCGTTACCTACTACCTGCTCTACAGCTTTGTAATTTTAAGGAGCTGGATTTACAATTACTGCCTACAGTTGGCAATGCTCTAACTTGTAAAGCATTGCTCCAGAAGTCAGCGTTTGCAGATATGTAGCAGCTCTCTGGAGCCCATTCAAAACATAAGGCAGCAGGGTAAGTAATCCAGATTTTACCACGAATGTGCTATGACTCCAGCAGCACACACGGGCTGGTTGGGCTGTAAGAAAGCCCCATCTCAGGAGAAGGGGCACCCGCCTTTCTTTATCTCCGGGCAGCCGCACTAATAACGGCGGAGCTGCAATTACCCAAGCAGTAAGAGAGGGCATCCAATACCCCCAAATCAATAACCAGCTGCAGCTTTGTGAATGTCTCCTTGTGGGTGTCTCTGCCTCAGTTTCTACCATGCTTTAAAAACTTTAAATTTTGCATGAAAAATGACCCTGGCTGTAAAGAGCAGACATCAGATGGCTACTAGGGAGCTGGGCTCAGCCCACGTGCTGTGCAGAAATCCCTGTCTGCATGATGCATAAGCAGAAAATATTTGTATTTGGCAGGCTCAGCACCAGCCCCGACTGAACAGATGACCAAGTCCTGAAATGCCACGCTTGTGCTCCTTGAAGAAACCCTTTCCCAAATCCACGTCCTCTTGCAATCCCCACCTCACACCACTGACCTGCCTTTATCCTGCACACACCAAGGACATCCCAACGAGCAACCACTCTGTCATGAATTATGAATTGGAACCCTAGTTCTGATGTGACGTCCCATGCCTCAGCAGAGTAAAGAGGTAGCATGGGGCGTTTTAATTTATGCTGTGAAGTGTGAGCACAATTTCAGGAGCCGGTACTTTGCAGGACAGTCTGATACAAGAATGCAAGAGTGGGAAGTAAGCGATGCAACGCAGGGAGCTGACAATAGCCTTTGCAGCATCTCATGAGTTTTTCTGATAGAGCTTACCATCCTAGGATATGAAGTTTTTATAGTTTTGGCTGAAAAGACATGTTTTCAAGCACAGAAGGGAGCATGCCACGTGGAGCAGGGTGTTTTACCTGTGTTTCTGCACTGCTTAAGGAATGAAGATCTAGCGACGGATCGGTTTTGAGCTCAGGCTCAGGAGCTGCAATTGGGGCTTTCACCAGGATGTCTTCATCAGGGCTTGCTCCTAATCCCGGGTCTTTCTGGTCACCTTCCGCCTCTTTAGGAGCATCAGTGTCTTTGTCCTCTTCGGACACCTGAGACTTGGGCCTCCTGAGAAAGGATGAGAAGAGGCGGGAGAGACCCCGGCCCTCGGAGGTGCGGCGCTCCTTCTTGCTCTGCTCCTCGTGCGGGGGCGTATCGCCGTTGGAGGCGTTCTGCTTCTGCCCCGCTGCAGGCTGTCCCTCCGACGTCTGCTGAGCCCCTTCTTCTTCTAGGGAAGCCTCTTGCTGTTGTGTTTCAGCAGCTCCTTCCTCCTCTTTGGCTTGCTGCTGCTCCGAATTGTCAGCATCCGCTGCTAGACTCTTCTCTGTTGTCATGATGATGCTGTAAGAGAGGTGCGAAAGGTCTTAGTTAAGATCTTCCCAATATTTAAGTCTGCATTAAGCTATTCAAACCAAGCCACGAGCACAGACACACCACGTTCCCCAGTCACACCACCCTGTCCTGCCAACTCCAGCCTACAACGTCATTAAGAGCAAGCGAATCATTCATTTTTTAAGGTTTGCTTTGATACAAACATCTCTATCGACATTTGCTCATTCGTCTTCCACCATTTGGATGACGCTGACTCCGAACTGCTAAATGCCCTGGCACCAAGTCTGCAGCCTGACAAGAGCAAATGATTAAAAAATGGAAACAAGATTAGGGAAAGGGGAGGAGATGGCAGGAGATCTTGCCCCACAGGGCTGTCCTGAGGTCCTCTCTTCCTCCAAGTCCCTGTTGCCCTCTGGCTGTGGGAGCAGAGCAGATGAGAATTACAGAATCATTTAGGTTGGAAAAGACCTTTACGATCATCGAGTCCAGCCGTATGAGGACACGCACATGACCAGGCAACCTTCCTCCCACCACACCTTGCCAAAACCCCAGACGGCCTGCGGTGGGTTGCCGTGTTACCGCATCCCTCTCCGCAATTGCAACTGGAAGGAGAAATCACCTACTTGAGAGTCAAAAATTGCACGGCTGCAACAAATTTTAATAGCTGCTCACTTCTAAATGTCCCTGAAAGAGGCCACAAATTCTCACCGTGAACTGAAAAGGGGGATATTTTAACATGATGAAGCACACTGATGCTCTGCTCCAGATGGGACTCATCGGTGCTGATCAACTACATTGATCTGCACAAGAAAGGTTCAGCAAAACAGAGCAGGCTTCAGGGTTCACGAGATCTTTGCATTGCACACTGGAAAAATGTAAAATGAAAAGGCTTCCAAACAATCCCCACAACGGAGAGCAGATTTCTTCAGAGCCTGTGGTATTAAGCTGATGCAATGTTTATTTCAACTTTAGCCTGGGCTGTTGACACAAAAAGATGGAAATCACATGAGAAGAATATCTATTTAAGGTATAAAGAGGACCCAAAATAATCATGCTTTAGAGAGGATAGAACTAATCTTTGCGCGTTGCATCACATGTATCTGCAGCAATAAACTGCCACCGCTTACGCAGAGCAAATAGCATATAATCCAATATGCCTTTCAATCCCACCAGCCCAAGCCTCGGCATACAAACGTTTGTTCAAAATACATACTTAAAATTAAGACACATTTCAAGACGTCACCCTCCTACATATTATTGCATTCAACAATTTTAGTTTAACTCATCCTGATTGCCAAAATAACCAGTGTGCCTGAAAGAGAAAAGCCCTCCTACCTTTCCAAAGGTCTCTTCCCTTCATTTAATGCAAAAGCTTAATATTATTCTTAAAGCTGTGGTTAAAACAAAGCAGCATTAGAGACCTTCACTGAATTTGTTCCCCCAGCAATGCAAATTTCCTGGGTTGACCAGGTTTGTTTTGGTTTCAATTTTAGGTTTTTGGGGATTTTTTTTGCAGGGAGGTCTTCTGTAAAAGCAGGGATGGTGACCCAGAGGGTCTGTGCTCCCATCAGAGCGATTCAGAGCTGCGCCAGATGTGGGACAGGCTCTCTGAACTCTCTGAAGCCTCTTCACTCGGACTTAGCCCCACCAGCCAGCTGCGGGGATGAGCTGCAGGGCCCATTTTAGCCTGGTCTCCTGCAGAAGCCAGGTTTGAAGCCTCATGCCCTGCACACCATCTCCCCTCGGTGAGCTGCGCTGGGTTTCTCCAAACCCAACGGAGAGTTGGAGGCCACTGAAACAGCAGCTTTCTACCTGCACGGAGAAAATGGGCACCCAAGCAGACAGCCTGCACGGCCATCTGCGGGCACCTGATGCACCAGGGACGTGGCAAGGCAAAGAAGGTGCCGAAACCCAGATGTGTCAAGGCTCCGAGCTAGACGGAGACACAGATGTGCAGAAAACCACACTGCATCGGTTCTCCTCCTCCAGTGCTTTGCACAGGAGAAGGCAGGACAGCCTGGCATAGCCCAACCAAGGCAGCAAGAGCACGCAAGGGTGATGCTCCAAAACGCTGCCGAGTTGGGCATTATGTCACCTCGTTTCCCCAGAAGTCTTGCAGGAGTTTGTTTTTGCAAAATTATCACAGAACAGGCTCTGCGAGAAAGCTGTAAAACCCAAGTTAAATGAACGGCTACAGCGGATTCACGCAGCATCCTGCTGGCTCCCACCACCACCCTCGAGGAGGGGGAAGCTTCGCGCCTGCCGCTCACTTCAGGGGAGAAGCAAAAAAAATCTGCAACGCTGAATTTCCTTCTCCCCTGAACCAGAAACATCTGCAATTTGGTTCAGGAGAGGTTTTGAAGGGGCTGTGCACTCATGGTGGGTGGCCACAGGGCTGCGATCGGTTTGCGGATGCAGTGCCCGGTGACTTGCTCCTGCAGCTCTTACTGCAGTTTCTGTTCCGCCCGTGATCCCTTGCTAGCGTGCGTGGATGCTGCGGGCCCCGTTAGCGACACGCGGCTCTGTCTGCAGAGACAGCCCAGCCACCATGCGGCCAATTCACGCTATCAACACCGCTCCAAACACTCCTAGAGATGCTACAAGGAGGTGCAGGAGGCAACAAGCTACGTTCAGCCGAACGCGCATCACCCCGAGCCCATCATGCAGGACGGACTCGCCATGGCCACCTCCCAGGGCGAAGCTCCTGATGCCCCGGCACGCACGGAGCAGTACGGATGCGCTGCAAGACTGTCCCACCACGAGCACACGGAAATAGCAAGCTCTCTTTTGCACCAGCTGCCAAAGCAGTCCGCTTTGTAGTTGCTTCCTACTGTGTTTGTTTTGAATAAATACATTTGTAAGAATCATTATCTAAACACACATTGGAAGCACGTTGCTCTTAAAAATAAAAAGAATTGAAGCTCTTGAAATGAGGACTGCAGGGAGGGCACAGCTGAAGAGCAGCTCTTATCAGCCGCAGTAAACAAGAGCGACAGTCTACAAACAAACATTTCCTCTGGAAGTAGTTTTTCTCTTTAAATACCAACATTTCTGGAACAAGAAACATTTACTTGTTTGGATTTCAAAGGCGCAGTGGCAGACCTTTCCTGGTGTGGGAAGGTGGGTCTCACTGGCGATGAGCAAACGTCTCCGCATCTTTCCACCATCCCCCGGAACCACCTCGCAGCTCGGCCGGGGCCCCTCGGCGGCGCCGGGGATACGGAGATGGGCACGTACGAGCCCTTCCCTTCCTGGCCCTGCCCAGTAAGCATTGCACAGCGGCAGCCAGCACCAGTAACTCACTGGGTGCGGACAAACATCGTGCTGCAAGACCCAAGCATGCTCGGCCCCGGCATGGGCTCATGGCTGGTTCCCTCCCTTTGGACTTTTATGTTCAGAAATGGTTTCCCCTAAGCTCTCAACCGAAAGCGAAGAGATTTGTAAGCAAGCAACATAACCAAGAGGCCGTACTATTTAAAAAAAAAAAGCACCTTTGCTGCACAGAGATGTTTGCTAAGTAGCATTTTGTTTCCAACCCAGCTCACAGCAGAGCTGACATGAAGAGTGAGGTTCCTACTGCACTGCTCTTCAACTCGTTATTTGGAGAAAGCACTGCCCACAGCCAAACCACAAGTGGCTTGTTTTTTTTTGTTTTTTAATTAAGTTTTCTCCCATTGCTATTCCACCAGGCAATTCTGCAGAGCCCGCAGGTGCCTCGGGAGCTCCCTGGACGCTGGAGGAGGACGCTCTGCTCTTGGAGGAGCACCCAAGCAGCGCCGCTCACCTCCTGCTCTGAGCTGCCACACTTGCAAATGCTGGATTTGGAGATTTTTTTGGTAAAGGATGAGGGTTTGGTGCCAGACAGCCTGTAAAAGGCAGGCTCTTCACAAGTCTAGTGTAGAGAAGGCGTTTAACGCTACGGAAATAAGCAAATCACAGCAAAACTTAGATATGATCCCACATAGAGATTTCAGAGTAAAAATCTCATCAGAAAAGAGTTCACGTATGTATTTATATTTAAACATTTTTAAGTTTAAGAACAACCTCCTCCAGACAAGACGCCTTTAGCAACAGGAAGCAATCTGAAGAAAAGGTAATTAAACACACGCAGAGCAGCCTGCGGGGAGAAGACAAAGAGGCTTTTTTTTGAGCCCCGCCCCCCCCACCGACAGCATCCCCCTTCACCTGCGCCACGGCAGCCCCCGGAAGAGGACCTGGACCTCCCGGTGTCCCACAGCACTCCCGGGAACATCAGTGCTGCGATGATGAAGAGGGAGCCCCGCACACCTCTTCTTAAACGGTACCAGCATCTCCGAACACCAAACGTCAAAGCAAACGGCTACACGGGCACCTTAGGAACCTGCCGTCCCCTGCACAGCAGAGCCCCCAGCCACCCAAATATCCCGAGCCCCCTCCAGTCTCAGGGGTCACCCCCGTTTCTATCCAAGGACATGGCTGTAGGGAGCACGCAACGCCTCTGCAGACTCATTGTCACCCATACACTCACCCTACTTTCCTGCATCAAAATCCTTTAAACAAAATAGACTTGAGGCTTAAAAGGAGTATAATGGCTCATTGCTCACCCTGTTCCTAACGTCCATGGATTCATTGACCCAACGCTAATTAATATCTGGCGAGCAGAGGACAGCAAAACTCGGTTTCAATCCCACACCATTGCACAAGCTCTGCTCTTGCAGACGTCGAAAGACAACCACCCTCCAAGTCAAACCATTCCCCTTTTCCAGCCTGCACACACGCACAACAATTTCTCTAAAATCCGGATTTTAAAGTGGCTCAACAGATCCCAATGGCTCCCTGTTGAGAAAGCCTTCAGGCCTGGAGGATGCCGAATTAGCCACTCTCTGCGCCTGTGCTCCCGGAAGGTTGTCATTAAGTGACGGTGCGTTAGTCCTCTGGAAATAACGATGCTGCTCCTTTGGGCTGTTTCGTGACAAGTTACAGAGGCTCAAAGAAACCCTAATATTTCGATACGCCTACTATC